AACGGTCCTTTATTCGCTGTTTGTGTGTGTTTCCCCCCTCTCGTTTCAGGAAGCTCACTCCGAAGTTGCACTCCACGGGGAGCAGAAGGGCATGCCATGTAAGGAGCTGTGCATTTCGGATGCTACAGGACAGATGGAAAGGGGGGGGAAAAGTTGCAGGGATCCCCTCCCCCCACCCCATGTCCAGGGAAGAGATGGGGACAGAGGCAGACAGAGAGATTGATTTGAAAAGATACTGACCTCTCTCCTCCAGCGGCAGTATAACTTGTCCGGGAAAAAGAAGCCGTGCGATCCCCTCTCCCTCCCCCGCTCCCTCCCGACCCCCTGTCGGACCTGTCATTTGCACGAACTGCTGTGCCGATCTCGGCAGGTGAATGCTTCTCCATTAACTGAGCCGCTAACTTTCTTCTCGCCCCACGCCCTTCACTCAAGCTGAAGCCTCCCAGCCCCTTCCTCGCCGCCGTCCCTCCCCGCTCCCTCCGCAAAGTTCAGGAGCCACCGCGACAGCCACAGCCGCCGCCACCACCGCAAGGAACCGCCGCTGCAAAATAAGAGTCTCTCGGAAAATGCAAGGGCCGCTCATTTGCATCCGAGAAGTTATTTCCCTTTGAATTGTTGAAATTGAAAGTGGGGGGTGCAGCTCGTAGCAGGAGCAGTGACACGGGGGTCACTGCGGGGTGTGCAGCCACCGTGATCAAATGGCGAGGAGCTGGACGGAGCAGGTGCCACGGGGCCGGGCCGGGGGCGCCCTGCCCGCGGGAGCTCGGGTTGAGGCCGCAGGCTGCGGGGGAAGACGGGGCAGGAGCCCCGAGCCAGGGCGCTTTTATTTTGGCCGGGAGTGGCCGGCCGCGCTGGCGGGCCGTGGGGAGCGGAGCGAGGCGAGCTGCGGGACTCCTTCCCCTCCTCACTATAGCAACCAAGGCCAGCCTGACAAAAATGCCCCCTCTGTGGACAATGGCCCGGCCTCCTTGTTTGCTCCGCTCTTCTTCTTCCTCCTTCCAAGCCAAAGAAAGTTGGCAGCCCCCGCTCCCGCGCGGGCAGGCGGCC